AAGCCAGAGAAAACCTTCTTCCTAGAAGCTTTGCGGGGGACGGACTGTGCCCCGGAGGAGGCCGTCATGATTGGTGATGTACGTGGGGACCAAACACCTGACACCTGCCTGTTAACGTAGTGCTCGTCTCCGCCGTGTGTCCTGCCCCTCAAATGCCATGAAATGGTCTTTCTAGAAGCTCTGGGTTTAAATGAGGGGTGAAAATTGAACCATCAAAACTTGCAGGATTTAATGTGTTGTCTGTGGGGTTAGTTCTCGTATTTCAGCCGCTGTTTGATCAGACAAAAACCACGTAGTAAATCATTCCCATGACAGTTTGTCTAATAGGTAGCTAAAAGATTTGTCTCCCTGTGTCTGCTTTTCATAGAATCATGTAATTGCAGAATGGTTTGGGTTGGAATGGACCTCAAAAATCATCCAGTTCCAACCCCCTGCCCGGGGGCGGGGCCCCCCTCCACTACCCCAGGTTGCCCAGAGCCCCATCCAGCCTGGCCTTGAACACTGCCAGAGATGAGGCAGCCACAGCTTCTCTGGGCAACCTGTTCCAGTGCCTCACCACCCTCAGTGTAAAAAATTTCTTCCTTATATCTAATCTAAATCTCCCCTCTTTCAGTTTAAAGCCATTGCCCCTTGTCCTATCACTACACGCCCATGTGAAAAGTCCCTCTCTAGCTTTTCTGTAGGCCCCCTTTAAGTACTGGAAGGCTACAATAAGATCACCCCGAAGCCTTGTCTTCTCCAGGCTGAGCATCCGCAACTCTCTTAGCCTGCCTCCATAGCAGAGGTGCTCCAGCCCTCGGATCATCCTCGTGGCCTCCTCTGGACTTGCTTCAGCAGCTCCATGTCCTTCTTTTAGTGGTGTGCAGAGCAGAGAATGTTATGAAAAGCTTGTTAGGAAATAGTGTCTGTGACCATTAACCAGCTGATCTCCTGTTCTGTCCCAGGACTGCAGGGATGATGTTGGTGGCGCCCAGAACGTGGGTATGCGTGGGATTTTGGTAAGGACAGGTGAGTACTCCATGGACCATTCATTCTGGGAGACAGTGGTGCATTCGGTGATCTGGCCTTGGGTACTGGCTGCCCCCGTGCCCACAGTGCAGGTGTCCTCTGAGCCCTGGTGCTTTGTAGAGGGCCACCATTCCTGCGGTATGTTGCACTAAGGGGCTGCTGGGACACGTAGAATCCATCACACCACGCATTTTGGGATGAACTCAGCAGATACATTTCCTCAGCTGCAGCGTGGCAGCCCATCAAGCAGTAGATTGTGATTCAGGACAGGCCATTATACGTAGTGTTTCAATAACAGGTCTAGAGCACAGACCCCAGACTGATGGCAGGATGATACGAAGTAATAGGTGGGGGTGGCTGGTATTCTAGGTGGGAATTTTTTTCTCTGATGACATTCAAAATCCTGAGCACTGATCACAGAACAGAGAGAACTGTTACTGTGACATCGCAGATTGCCAAAACCAGTCATAGCAATGTAACCTCCGATCATTCAGGAACTCTGGTGAGATTCCCTAGTTATTACACTGGTAATTATAAAAGTCACATTTATGATCTGATCTAGGTGGTCCTGCTCCAGCAGGGGGATTGGACTAGATGATCCTTTGAGGTCCCTTCCAATCCCTGACATTCTGGGATTCTGTGATTCGGACAAAAGTGGAACTTTAAGGTACTGACAGGTATTATCAATGTTATGGATGGTACCATGGACTGGGAAAGGTCTTTCTGAGGTGGCATCTGCTGGTGCCACACGGTCCATTGCGTTGAAAATAAAAGTGAGTAATCCTGCTCTTCCTCATAAAAGCCAGAAGGGAAGATGGTAACATTATTATTTCAGGAACCTACAACACAAATATCTGACTAGTCAGTGAAAGAATAGTGCCAGTACAGTAGAGTGAAACCAGTGTGTAAGTTACACTCATTTTGAACGAGAGCTGCCCCTGGGGGAATCCTCAGTAAAGCTTCCCTAAAAAGTGTTTGTTTAGGGAAGACTTGTGGGATGGTCGTTGCAGAACCACAGATGGGCGTTCCTCTTACCATGTCTGGTTGTTACTGATCCGAGAAGGCTGTAATTTTTGCAGAAAAAAAAAAACCCAGGATACTCCAAGGAACTTGGTAAATGCATCGTTTTGTTAATCTGTTACAGGTAAATATCGGCCGGCAGATGAAGACAAAATCAATCCAGCTCCTTACTTAACCTGTGAGAATTTCCCAGAGGCAGTGGAACATATCCTAGAGCGTCTGCTGTGAGAAAGGGAATATTTAGTTAGAAGGAACATCTGTTTCACATAATTTCATTTACTCTTGCTCCAAAAATTAAGGTCACAGGATCAATGCATGCGTTGCATCAGAAACGCAGCCATGAGCTCCTTCCACTCGAGCTGTGCCAGGGCAGAGGACGGGTGTGGGCCCTGGCACAGGCATGGCAAAAACCCTTTCCTGTAGCAGTTTCACAAGGATGCAGTGAGGGACCAGCAGGTGAGACAGAACAGCTACAGCCAACACAGCTGCTTTCCCGAGTGACACAGGAAGCGTGGTGGAGAGTTCTGTTTATTTTCAGTTTTCAAGAAATAATGGATGAAAGCCCTGTCTGGAAAGTGTCATGTCCTTCTGCTGAATGAGCTAAACTGAAAAAAACCCACACTGGAAATACTCAACTAAATAAACCTCAAAGACTAACAGAGCCTTAGTCAGCCTGTTGTGATTTCACCAAGTATGATTCTGCTCTGCTCTAACTTAAAGGGAGAGATTATGCATGTTTAGAAGTGACTTTTAAATTAAAATATCACCATTGTTTAATAATAACTCTGGTTGATGTCTTTGCTCTCATTAGAACAGATCCTAGGTTTTGTTTCTCAGATTTGACATAAAATTAAAACTGTCAGCACTTTACAGATGTTTTAATTAGATGCTGTTATTAAAAAGAATGGTACAAAACCAAAAATCTGGTATTAAATGCCTTAGAGACTGCGAATTTTTGAAATTAAGACTTCAGCAGGGTCCTATTAATGCTACAGTTGCAAAACTTCACTATTTTTGTGGGGTTTTTTTGTTTGTTTTTATTGTTACGGGAAAAAGCCTTCACAAGCCATGGGGACAGATTCCAGTTTTTACACAGTTGGTTAGCAGAGCTGTGAAATGAAATTTAATTCCGTAGTATGCGATGCTTTTCCTGTGTGCCAAATCCCCCAATATGAACCAACTTCGTAATGATGGTAAATGGCTTTTCTGGTCCATTTGCAAACTGTAATAATCAAAGTCCTTTACAATTGTTTTACAGTGCTCCTGAGTGTTAAATTATTAGATTGTAATTACACATTACTTATTGAAAATATAGTTCTGTGTTAATGAGCCATGCTCGTTCTTGTTAAGAAAAATCACCACGATGAATGAATGGGAAGCTTTCCTTACGTGAAGGTCTGTCTGTCTGTCTGCAGTCTCGCTTGGTGGCTGGTTGCCTACATTCAGATTTAATCTCCGTCGGAGACGGAACGTGTGGACGGAGCAGGCTTTGCAGTAGAAATGCAGGACACAACAAACACCCCCAGGAACAAACGCCGTCTTTAGATCCTGTTTGTGTGCCCTCGTGAATTGTCACCTGCAGTTCTGAACAAATTCACGCAGGTAGCCTTCGTGCCAGCAATTCTGAACCTGTGCTGGTTTCTTCTTGGAGTGTGTCAAGGATGACTCTGGCTCCTAGTGAGAGTCAGGTGGCGAGAGATCTGTAAGCAAAATCCAGTGAAGACGTTTTCCATAAAGACTTCTAACAATGCGACTGATGCTGGAACAAAAAGAGACTGCCAGTGCTTTGGAGGTCCCGGAGCGTGCTGGAAAGCATGCAAGATGGTGGTGCGTAGGAAAGCAGCTGCACGCAAGCCCACGCAAGGAGAACACTGGGAGAACTGCAAAGAGCGTAGCTGTCCTCTTGCCAAGCAAGAGGAAGATTAAGAGAGGAGCAGCTGCGAGACGCAAGAGCCTGAAAACGTGACTGATTAGAATTTCTAATTAAAAGATTGCAGGACACGTGGCAGTCCTGACGACTTACGTGGCCACGTTTATAAGCAGAGAAGTCTCCAACTTGGCTAATATTTACTGCTGCGCTGCAAAGCCTTGCTGTTTGCCTTTTATGATGCCGCAAACCAGTGGGCAACCACCAATCCAGTTTCTGTTTAGATTACCCTAAATCTGCTGATTTTCTACAATATAGAATCACAGAATGGTTTGGGTTGGAAGGGACCTCAAAGATCATCCAGTTCCAACCCCCCTGCCATGGGCAGGGACACCCTCCACTACACCAGGTTGCTCAAAGCCTCATCCAGCCTGGCCTTGAACACTTAATATCTCCAAGTTTCTCTCATTCCTTGCCTTTTCCACCTTGGAAATACCCCAAACCAATTGGAAAGTAACACATTTGGCACATTAAGGCTTTGATCTCCGCTGAAAACAATGACAAACTGACCAAGTTTACAAGGCACTGCTAGGAATTTTACTGAAATTTTACTGAAAGCAGTCACATTTCATCAAAAAGGGTGCAGGTCTCTGCTGGTAAAGCTGCGCTGACGTGATGCTCTAGTGAGTCTCAGAAAAGGAGAATTACACTAATAGTCCGACTGTTCTTAACAAGCTTTCTGCTCCAGTTCTGCCCCAAACCTGCAAACAACCGCCTTGAATAAAGAATGAGAAGCAGTGAACCTTTTAAGTCTTTATACATAAAATTAAGGCCAGAGTCTTCATTACACAGCAACTGCCACTACGTTATTTCCACAAAGAATGTTTTTTTGAATGGCCATTGAAAATGGCTAATAAAAAATAACCAAATATCCCCCCCATTACATTTTGAAAGTGAAGATTTCCCCTTGACATTTGCCACTGTATTCTCTTCCCTGGCAACAGCAGCTCTTTCTCCCCCACCACCATTCGATCCTTTGGAGGGAAGGTGATGCCATTTTGGATGGCAAAAGTCTGAAGTTTTTGGCCTTTCGGGGTTTTTCTTTTCAAACTGACTCAAATTCTCTCTGCCAAGCTGTGTACTTCTGGCTTAGATTCTTTGCTGAGGGCTTGGTGTGGGCGATCACATCCAGGAAATCTGCTGTTGTGATCGTGTCTAATCGGATCACAGGTAAGTTACTGTTACCTAAAGAGAAGAGAATTGGTTAAATACTGTTATTATTAGCAAAATGCATTCTTTTATGTCCCTGCCTAACGCAACACTTAACACACGAAACAATAAACCTAGTGAGATTAAAAAAAAATTGTATTTGTGCACGGAGCACAGATACTGACAGCTTTAAAAAAAAAGGCCTGCTTTTAAGAAATGTTAGCTTAGGTCGATGTTTTAGAAATGTGCAGTTTTGAACTTTTTTAAGCAGATAACAGAGCTCCACCTGCTGGGGTTAACATTCTGATTTCTAGAGTTACAGCAGTAGATGAGCATTTCCCAGATCGGATTCACACCTGGCTGATGATTTTCGAGAGCATCGAAGATTTTCCTCACTGGTCTCATAGCTGCTTCCTTGCACACGAGTTTTATGTCTGAGCCAGAGTACCCGTCTGTTTCCTGTGACAGAATCAGAATTGTACATTACAGCTTACCTTACAAATCGGACAGGAGTGGCCTTTACAAGCATGTATATTTTATATATATTTATATAGAACTTTTGTAAAGTCTATTCCTGTCTGAAATGTGTGTGTATAAATATAGACGCATACACACACACACGTATTTTTATGTGTACCCTCTCCTAAACATAATGTTGCTTCTTGTTCTGAATGCCCACAGAACCTTTTAGGAGCAAGGAAAATAGGGGGCATTTTGTTTCTAAAGAGCAATTTTCCATAGGTCAAATGAGACCTGCCTTCCTGTGTCTGTTCCCAGCTTTCCTGTTAATAAAATAACTGAATATCCTTATTAACATTATGAAACAAAAACTGAACAGTGTCCTCTCTGTGAATAGACATAAAAAGGGCCAACTGGGTAAGCTGTAAGATGCTTTCAAAGACTGTAGGATGTGACAAAGAGCTAAATGAAGAAAGCCTGATACCTAGTGAATCTTTTCACCGTCTAAATGCTCTTTTCTCCCA